AGCGGTTGCAGCATGAATTCTTCGGGAAATATGTTATTCAGGGAAGTGAAGTGACATTATTACGGCGGTATTTACTAATCAGTTGGTGAAATTAATTTGAAGAATATATATTTTCGTTTTACTATGGACACGAGGAGACATTTATTAATGGAAATTCGCTACGTATCGAATATATGAATGCGTAATGCGGAATATATGAACGACACTGAAATATGGGGGAGTCAATAGGAAGAATTACTGGCGAACATCGGGAAATTTCAGAGCCTCTATAGCAGAGAGTTCGCTGTTACACAGGCCCGAGTTATTTTGATCTGAAAAGTCCTGATTCGACTGAATTATTCGGGTTGTGTCCTATTTTTTTCAGTTGTCCGAGTTGAATATGTCGTTATATAATAGTTTAAAGTACTTCCTCAGTCAGTTATATGGGAACAGTCGACAACGTACAGAACATGTCAATTTTTGAGAAAAAAATTCTTGAAATAGCCAGAAATATGTCGCAAGGAGTCCGAACACAATTGACCGCTCAGTTTTTTGTAAAGAAAATGATTAAAAATATCATTTGTACAGCGTCTTATGAGAGTCACTTTTCAAATGTTCAGTGTGAGCATCGACAATGTACAAGCAATGCAAATACCCGATTTACACCATCGAACACATTCCAAGAATATATCTCTGCAATCTCATAATTTATTACTGCATAGATTTTGAGAAATCATTGAAAATATATCGCAGGATCATGAATTTTCGTTAAACAAGTGCTATGCGCGCGCTTTCGCGCGCGCTGTTCTATTCATTTGTTGAAATGAAGAAATGGAATTCATTGAATTTCATTTTCTCATGAATACCTTATAAATATTGATAATGAATCAAAGAAAATTCGACTAATGATTGAAGTGAATAGCGAAGTAGAGTAAAAGAATCTATAAAGAATTTTTCATTTTCAATTACTCATCTTCAATTTTTTAAAATAATCGGTCTCCATAAAAGGACAGAATTGATTAATTTCACCGATAATATATATACATGTGAAATATATATATATATTATATATATATGACGTGAAAAAAAAATTTACTTCTGAAGAATTTGAAATTATGTCACTGAAGAATTTGAAAATGCCGCGTGTTTTTTTTGTGAATAACTTCGTGTCACATATTGACCAATCAAATTTAAGGATTAGCGGTCAGGCAGTTTCGAGATATTTCGATATAAAACAACTTCACGTTTCGTTCATCTTTAGTAAATAGGACTAGGGGAAAACAGCGGTGTGACATGACAACGGCGAGAGAAGATTAGAATGTACAGGGTTAGGTCGACGGTCCTATAGTAAATGGAAGCACAGCTACTATAGTGTAGTATAGGTTCATATCAAAGAACAATAACTCCAACTTCGACTAACGAAAATGCATTGTTGCCGGATCTCTGACGATAGTTTCAATTTATTAATAAAATCATTAACAAAAAAATTTGAGGATAAAAAAATCGTCGACTGAATAATTATAAGTCATAAGTAAAAAGGAATCCGATCAGCAAAATTTCCATTCACTCTTGAATCTTCAAAATTTTCATTTTTTTTTCGAACGATGGAGTTTTGGAACCTTTGAGGTTTACCCCCACTCTATACCCCAAAGATATACAGTAGACTCTCGTTATAGTCACATTTCCCCTCATATCGATTTTTTCGAGCTCGAGCGCTTCCCCCACTCCGTACCACCACCGAGGTGTGGATTTAAATGCCCCTGTGTTTTCTCGGAATGGGCTTTGTTTTGCATTTCTAAGAAATTCGGGAAATAAAATTTAGGAAAAATGAATTTGCGAGAGAGAAATTCAGTTCACTCTTAACTGTCACGAAGAGAGGGTCTTTGCAGTGGTGCATAATCCTGCTTTTTATTTGAATGAAGTGAATAAATTTTGGAGTGTATTGAACAATGCGATGTTATTAATATTTCTATTCATTTCATTAATTTACTAAAAGTGTTCAACGCAATTCATTTTGTTAATTTAATAAAAGTGTTTAATGAAAATAATTTTTATATTTAATAAAAATGTTCAATGCAAATTGAAGAGAAAAATAATTGGAGTAAAATTTATTTTCTCATCGCTCCCGATTCCCGGACTTTAGGCTTACCGTGAGCGTCTGGTGGGGGAAGAGAAATACAGTCCCATTCTCAGAATCGGCTGCCCCTACAGCCCCGTGAGTGCGACTATAACGAGAGTCTACTGTACTGAGGAAGTGCCTTAACCTCCGAACGATTTTCCAAACCTTTCCTGCCCTTCCACCGATTTTTTCGAAAACCTTTCCAATTCTAAATTGTCTTTCGGCCCTGCTGCGGACTACTTTCTTACTCTATGAAGACTTGTAATGATTTCAGACAACATTCATTTTCGATTGGAACGTTCGAGCTGTGGACGGGCCAAAATTCTACACCAATTTTTCAATCACAATTTTCCGCGTAACATTCATCTGAAAATTGCAACTAGTTTTCAAACTGAATATTTCACAGAATTGTCAACTGAAAAATGCACTCGAGGACCTTCGGGCGATGGCCGCGTTGGTCGCGTTGGCAAGTTGAATTTTGCAACGAAAAACCGGTAAAACTGGGAAATTTGTAACAAGATGTTGTGACAGAAAAATTTACGACAATGACATTATGAGACAGAGTAAATCGAAAAACCTGTGTACTGAGAAAAATTTCAATGGTAATTTTAACTACAAGAGAATTGTCAAAGAAATTATATTTACAGTAACAATAAACTTTGTAGATTAAACTGGGCTTCATCATTTGATTTACTATGTCAAATAATGTTATCAACATTATGATGTAATTTTCACTTTAATATAACAATCATATATTAAAGTAGTAGTAGTAGTTGAATCTACAATGTTTATTGTTACCGTAACTATTATTTTTTTGACAATTCCCTTGTAGTTGAAATTACCATTGAAATTTCTCTCAGTGTGTTTCGCCAAAAAAATATTCGAATATATTATGTCAAGCCTCCGGGAAGGTATTCCGTTCAACCGTTTTCGTACTGAAAAGTAATAAAGTTTTATGGATTGCGGAGGGGGAAAGTTGGATCGTGTATATTATAGCGTCGCGGGCTCTACTTGACGTTGGGATGCGATTGCGTCCCTTGATAATAGCGTCGCGAGCTCTGCGTGATGTTAGGAGGCGACTGGGTCCCTTGATAATAAAAAAAGCTTTTATAAAAAACGATGAGAAAGTCGACATTCGATAATAGAACCTGCATTTTATGGAAAATTTCTCAACTTTTTTTCATCTTCTGGGGATAATACACGAACATCCTTTCTAGGATGAATGACCTCATGTATAATAACTCAGTTGTGAAATTTTTCAATGGAATTTTATAGCAAAAAGTCAAGCGTGTCTTATTCTTCAACAATTCCAAGTATTTTGGTCTTTTCTTCTAATTGAGATTTAATAAAATGATTCCACACTGATTTCAGTATTTGAATTCATGATTTCACTCTTTTGAACAGGTCTTAAACATTCTCCAACGATCTACTATCTATACTCAGAGAAAAAATTAGCTCTACCAAAAACTATTAGATGTACAAATTAATTCCCGGTCCCTAGATTAAATTGATTAGAACATCTATTTGAATTGAAAAAATTTGCCGCAATAAACGACGTTTTGAAGCGCCGTCTGTACGCTATGAAACCACTTAAGGATGTTTATCCAAAATCGCAAGTGTTAAAAAAATTGATTTTTTTTCAACTAAGAGATGAAGTTATTCCCTTTATCTTGATACAAATTTCAATCCACCAACCCACGTTTATTATTTAGAAATGGAGTGAACAAAATGCACCAAATGCATGCGCTAACATGTGCTCATATGGTATAGAATCTTTCAAATATTTCCTCCTTTTGCGCGAGTACCCCTAATTTTTTTCTGGTCATTCGATTCAGTGTAGTTTTGCACATTACCTTCTATTTTTATTTATATTTTTTTAGTCTTATAGTAGGTGAATTGTAATTTCAACATAAATCCCATAAGAGCCCGTGTATAAGGAAAAATTTGTTCATTTATTTCGGGCGAGACTATTACAATTAATTTTTTTTAACATCAAAGAAGTTGGTTTCATATGTTCTGCTATCAGCCAAAAAAATTACAGAATTTACCTTGAAAATGAAAAAATTGGATTTGCTGCAAATGATTAACACAACCTCAAAAAACATAATAAATGAAAATGTCTTTCGACAAGCTGTAGAAGGAAATTTAATATCTTTCACAATTTTAGTTTTTTCAAATCAAATCAAATATTTCCCACGAAATTCTATGAAAAAAGTTCATTTTTCAAAATCGCGACGTTCACTTGGATATTCTCAATCAGACATCTGCATAATTGAAATTTTGAATAACAGTTAAATTTGGAATAAGTCAATTGTTAATATTACTCACCAATTTTTTGATAAAAAAAATAACCACCAATTTAAATATCAAATTTCGAATTATTTTATCAACCACTAATTGAGAAATTAAATTACCAATTATTATACTAATTTTCAAATTTCAATTACGATAAATAAATCGAAATTACTATAAGGTCCACTGTCTCATAATATTAATAAAAGTAATGATTGATGCCGATCTATGTTCTCAATGATTTTGTCCATCGACTATCGTTTTATTCATTCATTCAATATGTTCAATTAATCCTCATGACACTCGGTATTAAAAGCTCATTAAATTATTACCTTGAGCAACGGGAATACTGATACTCCCTCGACATGCCTCAAAACCATTACGCGACTCTAGATATAGTGGAATCTATTTTCCTTTGTAATAGAGGAGGTATAATTTCTGGAACAATTCTAGACCCCGATCTTCAGATTGGAAATAGACTAGATACCTGGAAGATTGAAGGATGGGGAAAGGGTGAGGGATATAGAAATTTCGCTGGAGAATACGAGTTGTATGGGGTTTAGAGAGAACAGTCCGTAATTACAGGGAGTGAAGCTCAAGATGAACTCACAAGTGGTCCTGCCGCTTAAACGCCTTGCTGCATATCGTGCAAATGTACTTCCGCTCGTCACTGTGCGTCAGCTTGTGCTTTGTCAGTGCTGAGGCATTGTTGAACACTTTACCGCACACCTACAAACAGAATTACAATGAAATAAGTTTAATACGTCAGCATTGAATCATCTTCCAAACATATCAAATTATTCGAATCACGTGAGCGTGACAGACAGTTGTTGAAAATCTTGTGAAACTTTATCGCATAACATAAATACGAATTAAAAGTAGCTCTACCCTTCGGCTGGGTTACGCGGTACTTTTGGATATTTTCAGTTTTTAAATTTTTCAACTAAATTGCATGGAAAAAATTTGAAAAAATTCATACCCAGTCAGTATTATCTAAATTATATTTTGTAGAAAATTGATATTTTTTCAAACATTTCCCGCTTATAAGTAAATAATAAAACTAGTTTGCAAAACGGTGGATTATTTTTTATGAGGTGTCCAAAAAATTCTTGATTTTTTCACATTTAATGAAAAAAAAATTACGATTTTAATCTTTGATTACAATGGAAATGTTGATTTTCACATGAGACACTGGGCTAAGTTCTGATTTTTAAACATTTCTTCTTTTAAAAACCAAAACGAAATAAAACGATTAAATTGAGAAAAAAATTGGAATTTCGAATCTAATCGAGTTTTCTGCAATTTTTTTGCACTTTTCAATAATCTTTGAATTTACCGTAAGGGTAGGGCTGCATGAAGTTTACTTTTATGTTTCATCACATGGAGAAACATGGTAGTAATTCTCATGAGAATGCCACTGAATCCGATTTGAGGGAAAAATAATTACGAAATTGCAAGTTTTAGGTAAAATTCAAGGAAATTCATGAGTTTTCATTGGCAGTGAGACGAAAATTTCACAACTTGATTGAATTTTCAATGGAACATAAATACAGTAGAGGCTTCGTATAAGATACTTCCCTATAAGATACCTCACGCTCCGAGCGCTCGAGGTCTACCCCCACTCTCGGCACTTTTATCGCCTCCCGAATGTTTATGTTCCTCGGGCTTCTTATAAAATACCTATGACCCCGGTCATTTTTCAACGGGAAGAGAGTAGTTATAAGGATCAAACGGTGTTAAGGGTCAAGCGAGAGAGACAAACGAAGTGATCATGAGGGTCTCTCACGACCTTAAGCGGGGGTCACGCCACTTTTTTCAAGTAATAGAAATATACATCGATTTTTTTCCACTTTTCCCATCGAAAAATCGTAATTTTTCGTCTGTGATTATTCTCGAGTCCGGAAACAATTCCCCAACATCAGCTGCCAATCTATCGCGCGGGGTTATGTTTAATGAGAAAAGGAAACGGGGGCGATACAAAATCAAAACATTGAACCCATATAAATTGATTAGTTATCGATATTCATTCAGTAAAAATGAAAATTTCATTGAATTCGGACGCAACAAGCGAGGTATCTTAGTTAAAACCCGCTGATCCCTATTTTTCTCCTCTCTATGGGCGCGCGTAGTGGGGGCATAGGGGTTCCCGGAATTCCACTCTCCTACTGTCCCTCTTCTGTACTATTTTCGGTGCTAAAATGATAATGTTTCTAGTGCTAGCATATGAATTTTTCTAAAAAAAATTCTCAGTGTATTGCTCACGTTTTGTTCCACCCTTTCATTGGACCCTTACGAACATTTTCTGCAGTCAGGGAATGAAATTATTTTGGTCTGGGAAACCGGGAAAACTCATGATATTCCGAATATTAGGGTTGTGCACGAGACGAGCCAAGGCGAGACTTTAGAGTGCATCATCTCAGTCTCAGATCGAGATACGCGGCAGCGTATCGGCCAAGGAAAATTTTTGACTCCGACTGTCCAACACCTATACACGAAGTAACTCCCCCTTCCACTACCTCCGGATCATGCCTATTCAATAAATAAAAACGAGACAAGCTACATGGAAAATACCCTTAGTTGCATCATATAAATCGCTCACAAGCTTTTCATTAATGTGCCCACTTTTTTGTTCAAGTCAATATTAAGAAAGTTACGCACATAGCAATGAGTTCCTATCTTCATTTTCGCATTTCACGTTATCTCCGAGCCCTGTGTGTGAGTTTTGGGGTTCGAAGTTGGTAGCAGTGTGAACCAGCGTCGCGCGTGAAGAAGGGAGAGAGAAAGAGTATGTTATTCTTTCTATCTTCTCCTTGTACTCCACTCATTTTGTTATCCGATTCATTTACTTATTGTAAACGCAAAATAAACATGAAAAATGAGGTGACATGCAAGGGTATTTTGCTCTTTGCGAGAATATTTTACCCTGTTTTCAAATAATTAATATTATTAATTAAGTTCATGAATTATATGTATTTTCGGTTTGTAGACCAATATAAAATTGATTGCTTCCTCGCTTTGCAAAAATAAATGAAATCTTCCTAAAAAACAAAAATAATTATTTTTGTAAAAAACACTGTGCCAAGGAAAATTTTTCTTTGGCTTTTCCTGGAAATGAGGCAATGAAGACAATTTTCTGGAAAAATACAACTTCTATAAAAAACTTGGAAAAATACAGAAACTAATGAAAATAAGCCAAGTCAGGGCGCAATAAAAAATCAGTAAAGATAAAACTAACGTCCTTGGCGCGGAATTTTTGCAATCACTGCCTAATATCAATCTTATCTTCCATGTTCTGACGTGCGCTAAAGACGTTGGTTCTATCTTTACTGATTTTTTATTGAGCCCTGACTTGGCTTATTTTCATTGGTTTCTGTATTTATCCAAGTTTTTCATAGAAGTTGTATTTTTCTAGAAAATTGTCTTCCTCATTTCCAGGAAAAGCCAAAGAAAAATTATCCTTGGCATTGGAGATTATCATCTCGGCTCGGTCTTGTCTCGGTCTCGTGAATATTAAAATTGCAAAATGAGAACGATCATAAATTAAGCGAAATATTAACAATGACTGTTTTTATTTGCCATTAATGATGTCAAGGCAATACCTTCAAAGTTCCCTAAAGTCTTTCCCTTTTTGGCTTCACAGTACCTCACTCTTTATTTTGAGGTTATATCCCCTAGAGCCACATGATTGTCATAATTCAAACCTAACCAGGCTCGCTTGGAAATGACCGAATTGCATAAATACGATTTTGAAAAAACAAATGCTTCTCTCAAGTGAATGGATATTTAGCAAAAATAACGAGGGGTTATTCACAGACGTAATCGTGGTGTCACTCGCTGATGTAATCAATTGTAATCCCGGTGAAATCAATGTAATCATTGTAATCACATGATTGCCATATTTGTAATCAAGTGGTAATCATTTGTAATCGCCGTAATTATTTGTAATCAGTGTAATCTTTTGTAGTTGCTCCTAGGGAGACCGTGAATTTTGTTTTTGAATTTTCGAGCGCGTCATTTCTACCAATGGTATGTGTCAGAAATCCCTGGATCCATTTTTCTTGGAATCCCAGATGTTTATGGTTCAGAGCCTTGCATAGCGAATGCGTTTTGCACAGAGTGATTCTATAGAGTTAACATTTCTTCTTATTCTAGAGAACCAACAACTGAATTATCTCTGAATTATCTACTGGTAAATTTCATTCTCCATCAATGGTAGATATTCAGTAAATTTATTTTGCTGATGGCACTTACAAATGCCCAAATTTCTAGATGGACTGATGGAGACTGCATTCCTCTGTTCTAATCCCCGCCCCTCCTTCCTCATTTCTTTGCAGATTCTAATAATCAATTATTCCATCAATTCATATTTAATTAGAGGCCATTTTTTGTGATTTCAATGATTACAGATGTTTGGTACTCACAGAATGTAATCGACGAAATCATTTGTAATCATGTAATCACATTCTGTGCTCTTGATAATCACGGTAATCACATAGGCAGTGGTAATCAGTGTAATCAGTCCCGTAATCCTGGGTAATCGATTACATTTTGTAATCGGAGTGTCACCCAATTCGTCTGTGAATAGCCCCTCGAAAAATAATTTCTTTTCTCAGTGCATGAAACGCGCGTCTTTTCCTAGTCTGAAAAAAAGCGTGAAGAGAAGCATTGTTTATGACAGCAGAATGATCTTAATTCGCAAAATTCTACTTCCGAATATAATTATCTTCTACATTTCCATTGAATTTCCCATTTCTCTTAGATCTCAGTGGAGCGTCCCGGTAACCATTTGGATTGTTGATAATCCGACAAATGACAAATAATGTATACGCTGCGCGACGCGCCCATGCGCAATATTTAAATGACCCAATTTATAGTCAGACCAAGTAACTCAACTCGAATGTGGTCCGACGAGCAAAATATACTTTGAATGCACTAGAGCCCGTGGGCCACGTGTTTCTTGAAGAATGAAACGAGAGCAGTTTCCGATTCGATGGACACTGTATGCTAAATTCAGAGATTTTCTTTTTTCCACTGGCGGGTAACCTGTTCAGAGGCAGGAACGATGAGAATAATCCGCGGAATATCCTGAACGTGGGAGGAATCGGAAAGATGAAGGAGATAGTCCACTTTGCTCGCAGTCGCGAATTCCATGGCTCTCTCGATGTGATACAGGTATAGCTTGCACTGATTGCAGTCTCTTTTTGTTTCTGATTGTGCAGGGTGGGAGTTAAACGAGGATTCCACTGATACTGCAGTATGAAAATTCAGTGCAATGCTTCAATCATGTTAAGATAAGCAATTCTAATGATTTGGCATAATTATTGATTATGGCCTAGAACCACTCTTAACGATGTTTAACCAATCAAGTGGACAAGTCAGTTGAAAAGAAAAATAAAATTGACAGAATACATCATTCATGTTACAAATTATTTTTCTCATAAAATGGGAAGTGTTCTGGTGTACTTTTCCGGTCTCAAAAACAATAATTAAAGAAAATGTTCGTAAATAATGGAGGACTTGTGACTGCGGCGGTACCAGTCGAATTTTGATCGGGCAACATCGCACGCTTTGGCTAGTAGTGGGGTTGCAATAGTGAGATGAATGGTTGTGTGTGTTATACGTGTCCATATGCTTCCAGCACTGAATTATCGTCACCGACTTTACCGACATCGATCAGCTGTTGCGCGGTGTTGTCGCGTTGCTCGACTCGTAATGGCGGTCAATTTTTT